GGCTACAGCCGCCCTCCGGGGGGTGGGGTGCCGGGCTGCGCCCCCGTGCTGCTGTGGAGGGATGCTTGGCCCTACGTCAAATGAGGCACCCGTGCTTATCATTGATTAGCTGTAATTAGCATTAATTTTAACCTAGCATAATGTAAGTTAGAGGAAAATTTACTTCCACACACACACACACCATGAGTCCAAAGTGGAGCACTAAGAAACTTGTGCTTATTACTGCTGCCAGTGACAACCATGGTGGTGGTTGGGTTTGTACGCGTTTCGTGCTTACCAGTTTGCATTTTGACTCCCCCAGGTTCTCGGGGAAAGCAGGCACCTGCCCGCATCCCATCCTCTCCTCTCCGGTCCCCAGCAACCCCGTGACAGCAGCAGCCAGATGCACCAGCTGCTTGTGAAAAAAAGCGCTGTAAGACTTGTAGAGTAATAACCTTCCCAGAGCGTGAGTTTCTTAATAAGCCATAACACGTAGGGAAGTATTTGTTCCTTGTTTTTAAAAAAGTGCATTTTATCCTGAAGCTTGTGGAGGTCTCATTGTTTCAAAAGAAGTGGATGCTCAATACCTTCCGCTAAGACTCTGTTCCGTGTGCCAGGCTTTAACTGGGACAAGCTTTGTCCTTTGCTGTTTACCTCGTGCTAGCTGGTTCTTAATGTGTGTTGAAAATAGTATCCTGAATAGTTCAGTAAAATAAGACTGGGGGAATGGTACTAGGCTGAAGTACTGTGGCAATGTTCTCTCATTGATTCGCAGTGCAGCAATGTTCTCTCATTGATTCTCAGTGCCTCAGGGTCCTGAGCTCTGCAGTGAGAACTCATATTTGACATACACCGTAGCTTCTGTGTCCCCGTTGAGACTAAATGGTCTTTATTTCCTTTCCCCTCTCCAGAAAGGGGGGACTTGGAGACATCTGGCAGCTTCTCTGCCAGGGCCCCCATCCTGTCCAGTGTGCACATTTCTGTCCTCACCAAGGAACTGCATATGCTGCCCTTGGGTCAGGACTACCAGAATAGAGGGACCTTCCCCACTATGGCCTCTTTTGGCAGGGAATTTTTCTGTTCCAAACCAAGCAAACCTAGATTGGACAGAAAATTGAGGAGGAAGCTTCTGTTTTGTGATGCCTATGACCTGGGCATGTGGAAGAGAATTCACCACGATACAGGGAGGATAAAGTAATCCAGCACAACACAGAGAAGGTAAAGCTGATGCCAGCAGAACCAGGTGTGCAGGAACAAGTGCTCCAGTGAGGCTGGAATGGCAGGATGGGTCAGAGAATGGAGCCAGACCTGCTGCTTCACAAAGGCAACTGCAGACAGAGACTGGGATTCAGAGCAATTAGGTGTGTTTGGCTGATGAGACTGCAATTGGGAGTGGAAAATGTAGATTAGGAGTCTGTAAAATAAACAGTGAACAGGGACTGGGAAATGGTGGAGCACTGGGAAAACACACGGAAATTCAGATGGCTGGGCTTAATGCAGAGTACGAGCTTGCAAGATGGGGTGAAAGACTCAGTGAACAGCCTGATGAGATGAGTTGCAGTGAAAATGTGAAATGAATAAAAATAATTTCATATCAAGGAATGAACTTGGGGCCTCTGATTCCGTATATGTAAAATCGTATCTTTCCTTACGGGGCTATAAGTTTGCTCATACTTTTGAAGAACTTGGATATTATAATGATTACAAAATCTGGAGAAATAAACAATTTGCCTCTGGAGGATGGTTTGGCTATCATGATTAATAAGAACTGAAGACATACCTTGAATGAAAAGGAAAATAAAATATCAAGCTTATCAAGAAATGATGCACATTCTATGCACCAAAGGCAGTAGAAGTTTAGTGGAAAAGTAGTACTTCATCTCATAGCTGGACTCAGACAAGCAGTCTTAATCTGGCATTTCTTGATATATTTAAGTGGTTGACTTTGCAACCTTAATAATATTCTTTCATTTTAGGATTTGTGGGGCCCTCTTGTATATGTGTTTATATACATAGCTATTCTACATAGATGGCTATTCCTATAGAATCATAGAATCATAGAATGTTTTGGGTTGGAAGGGACCACTAGAGGTCATCTAGTCCAACCCCCCTGCAGGAGCAGGGACACCGCTAACTAGATCAGGTTGCTCAGAGCCCCACCCAACCTGGCCTTGAATGTTTCCAGGGATGGGGCCTCCACTACCTCTCTGGGCAACCTGTTCCAGTGTTTCACCACCCTCATTGTATAGAATTTCTTCCTTATGTCTAGTCTAAACCTACCCTGGTTTAGTTTAAAACCATTACCCCTTGTCTTGTCACTGCTGGCCCTACTAAAAAGATATCCCCCATCTTTCCTATAGGCTCCCTTTAGGTACTGAAAGGCCGCAATCAGGTCTCCCCGCAGCCTTCTCTTCTCCAGGCTGAACAAGCCCAACTCCCTCAGCCTGTCCTCATAGGAGAGGTGCTCCAGCCCTCGGAATCTGACTCAGCCATCTTGAATCTGACTCAGTCCCTTGCCCCAGTGATAAAAATGAGCACTGAGATCCTTCAATTCATTAGGCTTATATATAAAAAGATGTCTGTATCAGTTTTAGAACGGTTGCCCCTTGATTCATTTGAATGTTTTTTTCCTCCTATAGTACCAATGAGTAAATAAGACTATGTCTTTTCTTTGCTCTATTTTGTATTTCACATATTTTTAACATGCCCCCTCTCTTTCCTTTTTTGTTACACTAATGTTTGAATTTTATTTTTTCTTCCATTTGAGGCTTTTTCACATTCTTAATCTGTCACCATCCCACACCACACACACATGCATGCAAATGTTCACACACTTTGTTTTTGCTTTTGATCATTTTAGGCTCTTTTAATACAGTTCCCTCTCTTTATCAAGTATATGTTATCAAATGTAGAGATACTGTTTCAGTTGTTAGTCACACAAAAAGTACAGAGTCTCTTGTACTAAGGCTTAGGGCTTGTTTAATTTCCTGCTATAATTATATCAGTATGATATGGTAATATGGTGTTGAAATGTCTGCAACTGAATGAAACCCAAACTTTTCAATTCAAGAAATGAGAATGCAACAATGATTAGATCTGGGACACTGCCACCAAGTCCTTGCTTCACTTGGTTCATAGGCACTTTTTATCCTAGATCATTCTGAATTGCACCACAGGAATTTGAATAGCGGTCTTTCACATTTTAGACTACAGAGGCAAAATAAGAAAAATGTTCTAATCCTTGCTACAATTTGTAATTTCTAGTCCTATGAAAGCATAGGCCCTAATTACACCTCCTTTAAACAAAATGCCAGTCTATCAGCAGAATTAATTCCTAGTCATTTTACTTGCAGCTGGAAGAAGCAAAATCACCCCATTTAGGGTGATTAGGTCTCCATTTAGGAAATTAAGACTTCAAACCTGTTAAGGTATTATTTTCTTCTTTAGAACAACCTTGACATCTAAAAGACTGAACAAGCCCGCAATTTTGGAAAAAAACATCAGTCTGCCATGCCTGAGGAGCTCAGTCTGTTTCGTGTGAGCATAATTATTTGGTGTGAATCTGATCATTCTAGTGTTAGGTTCTTCTGGCAGTGGTTGTCACCTCTGAAGTGGCCAAACTCGCCAAACTCACCAAACTCTGGAGGAATACCAGACTTTCATCTTATAGTGAAAAATACCAGTGACTGTACCTCTAGAAGGAACCATGAACAGTGTCACTAAGCACCGACTCTGAACTTTGAGGGATTTTCTCATAATGCTAGTCACGCGATGGTGTTTCACAGTTCTGTCACCCACTCACTGTAATTATCAATTAGACTAAGCAAAGCCAGATAACGTTAGATACAAATCAAACTGCCTCAAGGTTTACAATGTAAACCTTTACAGATGGCCTTATCTTCAACAATATTCTGGGAGATGATTTATTGGTATTAACTCTGTTTATATGTATTGAGAAATGTTTATATGTATTGAGAAATATTAAGGCCGAAGGACTAGATCCAAGTAAGGATTTAAGCACCTGAATTCTGGAATCCAGAACTCTGAGTGGGTACCTAGCCTTTCTGTTCAGTACGTGTCATGCAGAGAGCTAAGCAGTGCAGAACAGGATCCACAGCAATCATCAGTCCAAGCAGGAAGTTGATTAAAGTTAGTGGGCTGAATGCGTATTTGTGCAGAGTCATGTAAAAGGACACGCCGAGGACGGTGTTGTGGCCTACGTATGGCCTTGCAGGACCTCAGTCTGGATTTCAGAAACACTTCTGTCAACTTGAGATCCACAACCCACAGATCTCTCAAAGAGTTTGATAACACACTTTTTAAAATGTGGCCAGAGGAGATGCCAACATCCCCTCCTATTCCCATCTCCATGGATAGAGAACTGGATTAGACATGGATTTGGTTTGTTGAGGGTATCAAACTTGTACCTCCCATCACTGAGGAGGGTGACCTGCAGGGTAAGAATAATGAGCATCTCTCATATTGAAGATGCACTTACTTAGCAATTGTTTAATGCAACATATAAAAATAATTAGATTAGATTACTGGTAGACTAGTTTAGATTACATTTAGACTACTTGAGACATGTAGACTAGTTTAGATGACAGGCCCTGTAGGTGTTTGCCTTTTCTCTAACAATGGCCATAACCTTCTGCATCTCTCCATGTTTGCTCTAGGAGATGAAGACTTCCTTGAATTCTGCAATCCTCTCCAGTCTCAGGTGAGACTTGCAGTAGTTCCTGTCCATCCCTGACTCTGGCCTTGAAGTGCTCCTTCTTGTGCCTCTGTCCCGGGGGACTCCTTGACTGCCACTCACACAGAATATGGTAAAGCTGCACAACATATAGCTGGTCCACCTCAGAAACATGTCTACATGCCTGTGCTCTACTCATTCCATTCCTCACTCTCATGTCCTACCCAGAGACTATGTCTTTTACCACCAGAAAATGGTGAGGAAGCCCAGTGGGCTAGCTTGTACCCTGAGATAATTCCATGGCCTTCAAGAGGATTTTCCATTTTATGTCCCTGGGTAGCAGTGGGTGTGGTTGTGTTTATGGTGTGATTTACACAGTCTTCTGCATCATGCCCTTGCAATGAAAGGGAAACTCAAATTCAGCTGTACATTAATTGAGGCAGGTTTCAATCCTTCTCTGCCTCCTATGAAATCTCTTGAGGATCTGGCTATAATTTTCCTCTCTACAAGTCAGTAAGAATGGCAGATACAGCAGAAGTAAGGGCAGGGCAAACATCCCCCATGCTCTCCCAGCTTTCTCTAAGCCTCCCGCTTGTGGTTCAAGGTGTAGAGACAGAGATGACTTCTATATATGCAGCAGTAATCGCCAACAGATTTATCCTACA